ATTGTAGAGATGAGGTCTCGCCAAGTTGCCCAGGAGGGTCTCTAACCCGCGGGTTCAGGCAGTCCACTCACCTCAGCCACCCAAAGGTGCGGTATTACAGGCTGAGCCACCAAGCCCGGCTATGTTTTGTTTTTTTTTGAGTTGGAGTCTCACTCTGTCACCCAGACTGGAGTGCTCTCGGCCACAGCAACCTCGACCTGCTGGGCTCCGGTGATCCTTCCACCTCAGCCTTCCAAGTAGCTGGAACTATAGGCGCGCGCTACCACACCCGGCTAATTTTTTTTTTACTTATTGTAGAGATGAGGTCTCGCCAAGTTGCCCAGGCAGGTTTCAAAGCTGCGTCCCGCTTTCTTTGGAACAGAAACACATTACTGAGAGAATAGCTCTTTCTCTCTCTTTTTTTTAAAAATAGGAGTCTCACTCTGTCACCCAGGCTGGAGTGCAGTGGCATGCTCATGGCCCCCACAGCCTCAACCTGCTGGGCTCAGGTAATTCTCCACCTCAGCCTTCCAAGTAGCTGGAACCAGAGGCGTGCACCATGACACCTGACTAATTTTTAAAAATTTATTTATTGTAAAGACGAGGTCTCACCAAGTTGCCCAAGTTGATCTCAAAACCCTGGGCTCAGGCAATCCTCTTGCCTCTGCCTCCCAAAGTGCTGGGATGACAGGTGTGAGCCACTGTGTCCAGCAGAATAGCTTTCCTATTAGAAAGTTCCGGTTGGAGGCGGTGGCTCAGTCTGTAATCCCAGCACTTTGGGAGGCTGAGGCGAGAGGATTGCCTGAGCCCAGGGTTCGAGACCAGCCTGGGCAACTTGGTGGGACCTCGTCCTCGTCTCTACAATAAATTACAAAAACTAGCCAGGCATGGTGGCATGTGTCTGTAGTTCCAGCTACTTGGAAGGCAGAGACGGAAGGATCACCTAAGTCCAGCAGGTCAAGACTGTGGTGGCTGTGAGCGTGTCACTGCACTCCAGGCTGGGCAACAAAGAGTGACACTCCAACTCAAAAAAAAAAAATGAAGAAGAAGAAAAGAAAGTTCTAGCTCCTCAGGCTGCCACAGGGAGGGAGTTAGAATCCTCCCAGACAGTCACAGGCTTTCTGCTCTGGAGAAGAACCATTTTCTGTGTCTGCGCAACGGGGCTTTATTTTAAAACGTAGGCTGCAGACACAGCCCCTTACTTGGGAGGAAATCTGTTTCCAGTCCTCTGAGGTAGATGCAATCTGACCACAGAATCAGAATTAACCAGGTTACTATGTAATACACATCAACTCACACCACAACAGCCTACCCTCCCCCGCCACAGGCCACCACATCTTCACCTCACCCTGTGGAGGGTCCGCATGTGTGTGCGCTCATGTCCCACCCTGACAGCCACCCAGAGCCTGGGCCATGCACCTGGTGCATCTGCACTTCCATGCTCTTGATCCACAAAAGTATCTTTTTTAAAAAAGGAAATACACAAGTATTTTAAGATTATTTGGCGCCACCACATGAAAAGACCATGAATTACTATTTCCAGAACTCAGCGTGTCATTTCGTGATGTGCCAGCACCATCCAAGTCCACTGAGAGGGAGAAACACAGTTGGTGCACACTGTAAGAAAAACCAGAGACACCTCTTCTCGGGAAAGAGGTAGAGACATGTGGACACAGCCCTCGTGAGTATACCCAGTGGCTCACGGGAGAAACCTCGGCCCAAGTACTGATATCCGGAGTCCCTCCACCAAGCAGAGACGAAGGAAGGCAGGAGTGTGAATTCTCCTGAATGCAGGCAAAGACTACTACATGTTAAGTGGATGGCTTTGGTAAACAGAACAAGACCAACTTGCAAGGCTTAAGGAACTATCAAACTCAAGATCTGCTTCCCCCAATGTCCATCTCCGGCACACAGTATAGATGCTATGGAATACTAAGTACCTGCTCAATGGAAATATTCAAAAGGAAGTTGGAGGCAAATGTTTAAACGAAGACCTGTCCACACATCTTAAAGGGCATATACAAGTGTAAATGTAAGGTCGGCAGGCTGACAGTAGAACAGGCAGCCTGGACCCCAGTCCGAGGAGGGGACACACACAACTCTAGGTGCCGGGCACTTCCCTGACCTGCAACACCGCCAGTTGGCCTTTGTTCTGCCCTCCCTCCACTGTCCCTTCAACAATGCCACCAGACAAAGAAGAGGGATCAGGAGGGGAACCGAAATGCCACCCTGTACCTCCTGGGGAGGAAAATGCTCAATCGTCCGAAGGGGAAGGGAGTCTCACCAGCTTTTTCTCTGAGAGGCGCTTCTTTCTGGAGGGCTCCTGATGCTTGGCATGGTCCACACGGTCACCTGAGAGCAGCCTGGGAGAAACCTGCTGCGGAAGGAGCTGGCTGGGCGTGAGGAAAGGCTGCATGAACAGAGCCCACCGCCCCATACCCACAAACATGGTCTGTGATCTCGCTGCGCAGAGCCTCGACGGAATCATGACCCTGGCAAAACGTTGATGTGGCACAGTCAGATGCTTGGTTTCAACCTGAACATCAAACAGAAACAAAAGAAAAGTGTGTGGAGCATGACAGAATCCCCATGCATTTCTGAAACGAGTGAACTGATGTGCCTGTTCTCACACCACTCGCCTTTGACTTGAGTCATGCGATGTCCCTGGGCCCGCCAGTCTAATTGCTATTTGGGGCAAGATTTGTGCACAAGGGGTTTAAAGCATTAAACCTCCTGCAACACCAGTCATACCCTATGGAACACCCAGTACCTGCCTGATGAAAATATTCAAAAGGAAATCAAAACCACAAGTCAAAATTTCTTTGCAATAAAAACACCTGCTTACTCAATTGCTATTGAGTGTATTCTCTTGAGCAGCTTTAAAACTGCTAAACTGAAACACAACAAGAATATTAAACATGGAATATGACAGCTGACATCAACTCTGGAGACCAATACCCACCTGTGCTGCTTTGTCAGCATGAACGTGGGTCAGGCGCCCACACTGCCTCAGTCTCCTCACCTTTGAAAAGGGACAGGGCTTGGCATGGAAGGGCTGAGCAGGTCTCCAGGGCTGCACAAAGCAATCCTGGCTGTCATCATAAATGTACACTTGGTCTTTGCCCCCAGGTCCTAAGACAGAGAACTCAGAAGCCCCAGAACTTCCTGAGTAACGAAGTAACAGGAGTGTCTGCCCAGAGCACCTGAGTCCAGGGGGGTTTCCCAGGTGGCAGGAGAATCTTGTGGTTTCAGGAGCTACTTTTGGTGGGCAGCTGGACAGCCAGAGCTGGTCTCCAGAGGGACTGAGTCATGATTAAAAGCCTGTAATCTCAGCACTTTGGGAGGCTGAGGTGAGAGGACTGCCTGAGCCCACGGATTCGTGAACAGCCTGGGTAACTTGGTGAGACCTCATTTCTATAAAAAAAAAAAAAAAAGCCAACAAAAAATTAGCCAGGTATGGTAGCACATGCCTGTAGTTTTGGCTACTTGGAAGGCTAAGGCAGAAGGGCCGCCTGAGTCTAGCAGGTTGGTGCTGGGGTGGCCATGAGCGTTCCACTGCACTCCAGCCTGGGCAACAGAGTGAGACACCAACTCAAAAAAAAAAACGAAACAAAAAAACCCGGGCCTTTCAGCTACAGGGGCAGTGAGAACTGGAGACTAGTTGGGAACTGATGTCTATGGACGAAGCTGTCATGAACATCCTTAGACTGTGGGGTGTGAGCTTCCAGGCTAGCAAACAAGAACTCATCCTTGTACAGGGAGGCAGTCACCCAGCTCCACAGGGACTGAGGCCTGTATGCAGGATCCTCTGGGCCTCCCCTGTGAGCCTCTCCACCTGGTTGCCCACCTTACCCTCTGTGGTGCCCTTCAAAATCCACTGGGAAGCCTAAAGCATCTTCCTGAATTCTGAGCATTACAGCAAATACCAAGCCTGAGGAGTTGAAGGAACCTCCAATCTGCGGCCAAGTTGGACAGAACTGCGGGGATCCTGGGGACCCACTGCGTGCCATCTGAAGCATGGGCAGTTCTGTGGGGTAACGGCAAGTGGTGGCAGGACTTAGTGGAACCGTAGGACTCCCCATTGGTGTCTGCAGAGGACTGGGGAAGTGCTTGGTGTGGAAACCCACACAGTTGGGTGAGACATGTGGTGTGGTGGGAACAGACCCCAGCAATATCACACACATGAACTTGGCATGTGCTCTGTGTCATTAGTGACGTGCCATTCATACAATCACATGTTCATTAGACAACCGATGAGCTGAGATGTGCAGGGGCCGGGGGCAGAGTGAGGAAGACACCCGCCTGCCCTCCAGGACAGCCCTTCCCACTTTGCCGTGAGTAGATATGGCCCACCCCCAGGTTTCCCTGTGTTGTGTGCCCCACATGAAAGGAGATTCTAAGCCCCCCCCCATTTTCAAGCAGGAAACACACACACAGGAGAGTTGAGCTGAGCATGCACTGTTACTGTGTAAAATCAGCACAGCCCATGTGTGTGGTCTACTCTGGAGGGTAGCTGCCTTCTCCCAGGAGTTCCCGCACCCTGTTACACCTCTCACCCCTCAACAGGAAGCACTAAGGTGACACTGCCTCTTGTCATCCTTCCTGTGAATGTATTTTAAAGAAGCCCCTGATCTTGAGGTGGTTCAGGGTTTGTAATCAAGGTGCAGAGGTATCCCACAAATTCCTTCTCAGTGTCTCCTTTGACAGCATCTGACATGACCAAGCATATCTGTCACAACTAAGAAACCATGCTGGCATTCTACTGCTAAATCCACTCCAGACAGGGCTTGAGTCCACTAGTATTTCCATTAATGTCCTTCTTCTATTCCAGGACCCAGTCCAGGCTCCCACACCGCATTTAACCACCAGGGAGCGATATTTTTAAGAGCTGAAAAAAAAGAACCATCAACCCAGCATTCTGTACCCGGTTAAAACATCCTTCAGGAAGGACGGTGAAATAAAGGCATTCTAAGATGGTAGAAACTAGGATAATCTGCCACTCTATCTCTGCTGTATGAGAAATGCTAAAGAACATCTTTAGACTGAAGGAAACTGACACCAGAGGGAAGCCTGGGTTTTGAGGAGTTGAAAGGAAAGCAATAGAAATGATAAACATAAAAGACTGTATTTTTCTTCTTAAGACTTTTTTTTTTAAAGAAAGTAGGATTTATTGGGGAAACACCCTCGGGTCCCCTCCCACTGTGGGAGCTTATCTGTCATCTCAATAAATCCTTTCTAAAAAAAAAAAAAAAAGTAGGATTTATGAAAACAGAAAAGCTCCCACAGTGGGAAGAGATCGAGAAGAGGTTGCCCCAAGACTTTAAAATTATCTGCAATTATAGCCCTAAGACTTTTAAAATATCTGTAATTATAAACACAGAAAACAGTTCATTGAAAAACATAAGCTAGGCTGTATGTGGTGGCTCATGTCTGTGATCCCAGTACTTTGAGAGGCTGAGGCAAGAGGATTGCTTGAGCCCAGGAGTTCAAGACCAGCCTGTGCAACATAGCAAGACCCTGTCCCTACAAAAAATAATTTAAAAAAATTATATGGGCGTTGTCACGCCCTCCTGTATCCCAGCTACTACAGCTACTCAGGAGGCTGAGGCAGAAAGTCCACCTGAGCCCATGAGGTTGAAGCTGTGATAAGCCATGATTAAGCTAATGCACTCCAGCCCGGGTCACAGAATGAGACCCCAACTCAAAATATAAAAAATTTAAAAAAAAAAAGAAAAAATAAGCTTAGTTGAGAAAGTTCTATCTAGCATGATTAAGAAAATAAGAGAGTACATAAATCACCAACATCAGGAACGTAAACAGGGTTAACAATACAAGCCCTACAGACACTAAAGGATAAGTGAACACCATGAACAACTTTATTTATTTATTTATTTTGAGTTGGAGTCTCACTCTGTCGCCCAGACGAGTGCAGTGGCACGCTCCCGGCCACCGCAGCCTCAATCTGCTGGGTTCCGGCGATCCTTCCGCCTCAGCCTTCCAAGTAGCTGGAACTACAGGTACGCGCTACCACGCCCGGCTAATTTTCTGATTTATTGTAGAGATGAGGTCTCGCCAAGTTGCTCAGGTGGGTCTTGAACCCGCAGGCTCAGACAATCCACTCACCTCAGCCTCCCAAAGTGCAGGATTACAGGCTGAGCCACTGAGCCCAGCTTCACGAACAACTTTATGCCAACAAATTCAACTAAGGTGAAACGGGAAAATTTCTTGAAAAATGAAACTTACCAAATAAACACAAGAAGAGACAGTCTAAAATAGCTCTGTGTTTACTCAAGAAGCTGAATTTGTTATAAAAGAACATTCCCCAAATAAACATTCCAGATTCAGATTGTTTTCCTGGTAACTTCTATCAAACATTCAAGGAAGAGATAACACCAATCTTACACAAGCTTCTTCAGAAAACAAAGAAAATAATAAGGCCTCATCCTATGAGGCCAGTGTAATCTAAACACCAAAAACTGACATTACGAAAAAAGAAAATTACAGACCAATGTTCCTTATGAATACAGATGCAAAGAACTTTTTTTTTTTTTTGAAGAGACAAAGTCTCGCTATGTTGGCCAAGCTAGTCTCAAACTCCTGGCCTCAAGTGATCCTCCCACCTCAGCCTCCCAAGTGACTGGGATTACAGGCACAAGCCACCATGCCTGGTGCAAAGAATTCTTTTTTTTTTTTTTTTTTTTTTAAAGTTGGAGTCTTACTCCGTTGCCCAGGCTGGAGTGTAGTGGCATGCTCACGGCCACCCCAGCGTCGACCTGCTGGGCTCCGGCGATCCTTCCACCTCAGCCTTCCAAGTAGCTGGAACTACTGGCGCGTGCCACCATGCCCAGCTAATTTTTGATTTATTGTAGAAATGAAGTTTCACCAAGTTGCCCAGGCTGGTCTGGAACCCATGGGCTCAGGCAATCCACTCACCTTGGCCTCCCAAAGTGCTGGGATTACAGGTTCAGCCACTGAGCCCGGCCACACAGAACTCTTAACAACATATTGCATCCAGGACTAAGGCTATTCAGGACAGAAAGGATCATCCACTCAGACCTAGCAGGGGTTTCCCAAGAACAGAAGGCCACATCAACAACAAAACTTAGTCAACGCATCTCATGATATCGACAGAGGGAGTGACCATCTCAACATGTGCCCTTGGAAACCACCCACTCATGATTAGGACAAGAGAGCATCTTGGCAAACTGGGAACAGAAGGGGTGTCTTCACCTTGATTGAGGCCATCAGGTGAGGTCCACAGAGCAAATCGCACTCAAGGAGCAAGACCTACACTGCTACCTGAGATGGAGAAAAAGGCACAAACCTCATGCTCACCACATCTGTATGACACTGTCCACTCAGACCCTACCACAGAGGAACAAAAGAAAAAAGGAGGAAGTAAAGCTTCCACCCCATCTGGAGATGGCAGTCCATGAATATCTCAGGGAAATCTATAAAGTACAATTAGAGTTAAAAAGTGAACTGAGCAGGTACCACGTTGTAAAGTTAATGTGAAAATCAACTGTATTCTTCTACACTAGCAACAAACAGCTAGAATTAAAATCAAGAAAAAAATCTCATTTACAGTAGTGCCAAATACAGAAAGTACCTAGAAAGAAATTTAACAAAACATTCAGACCTCAGCTTGCAAGATTCTGTTCTAAGTATTTTTCAGATATTAATTCCTAATAAATATTCTGTGTAGCCAGGCTCGGTGGCTCAGTCTGTAATCCCACGCCTTTGGGAGGCTGAGGTGAGAGGATTGCCTAAGCCCACGGGTTCGAGACCCGCCTGGGCGGTGAGGCCTCATCGCTACAATAAATCAAAAAATCAGCCGGGCATGATAGCGCATGCCTGTAATTCCGGCTACTCGGAAGGCTGAGGCGGAAGGATCGCCGGAGCCCAGCAGGTCGAGGCTGTGGTGGCCGGGAGTGGTCACTGCACTCCAGTCTGGGCGACCGAGTGAGACTCCAACTCAAAAAAAAAAAAAAAAAAAATTCTGTGAAGAAAGTACTTTCATATTCCCATTTTACAGATGAGGAAACTGAGACAAAGACAGCTGAAGAGACTCAGCCAAGGTCACAAAGTCTGATGGGAAGGCAGGGGTGCAGTTTGAAAGCAGGTTAAGAAAAACTAAACAACTCACAGATCATCGACATGAGCACATCCACGCTAAGCCCCTGGAAAGGTGAACAGCTGTCCTGGACATTCTGGAAGCTAGGCTTCCTGACATTGGAGACATGAACCTGAAGACAAATGGCAGCAGTATTCAACTACAAAGCCACCCAGAGCCCAGGATGCTCACACTCGCATAACATGGCATACTTCCTTTCTGTCCCTTCAACTTCTGATTGGAGACCTGCTGTAGGACATGGCTCTCCCTTGTCAGATGAACAAAATCAACTTTGCTCCACACTGTATTTGTGGTCTTTATTTTCCTTCAAATAAGGCTATTCTTGTGCTGTCCAATACAGTAGCCACCAGTTACATGTGACTAATTTTAAATGAATTAAAATTAAATAAAATGTAGAAACTCTGTTCCTCAGTCCCACAGGCTACATTCTTGGTGCTCAGTCACATATCGCCAGTGAGTGTCATACTGGACAGCACAGATTAGAACATTTCTGTGCCCACAGAAAGTTCCACTAGACAACATTGGTCATGCACTGTGCAGTAGGTGCCCAGAAAAGTAAACTCAAATTCTCCCTAATTGCATCCATTTCCTGGGGACAGTTCAGCGCAGCACAGTAGGTGAGTGGTGCAAGCCAGGGTCCAGGGTCCGACAGAGACTGAGATACTTCATGATGACAGGATGGGCCTTTTAACCACGCCTGGCATGGCACTCGATGAACACTGAAGGTCCCACTTGGGAACAGCATTACTGTTGTTCTATAAAATGTCATGCTCTGGTTACTGGTCTACAAAAATCGTCTGCCAGAAACCTCTCTTCTAAGCCTTTTATGTGGATCTTATTTACTGTTAGGGACCTGATCTCGCTGTCACCCAGGTTGGAGTGCAGAGGTGTGATCAAAGCTCACTGCAGTTTCAAACTCTTGGGCTTGATCCTCCTGCCTCAGCCTTCTGAGTAGCTAGGACTACTGGTACAAGTGACCATGCCCAGCAAATTTAGATTTTTTAATATATTCCTTACAGTAACCCTGTTGGGGTAACACTGCACGCAGAGGTAACCATGTGGAGTTAATACTGTGTGCAGGAATAACCCTGGGGGGGTAATTGTCTGGAGGTAATACTGCGTGCAGGGGAAACCATGTGGGGGTAATACTGTATGTGGGACTAACCCTGTGGGGGTAATACTGCATGCAGAGGTAACCCTGCAGGGGTAACACTGCATGTGGGGGTAACCCTGTGGGGGTAATACTGTGTGCAAGGGTATCCATGTGGGGGTAATCCTATGGGGTCACTGTGTGCAGGGGTAATTTTCATTTGCTTGTCCAGGCCAGCTTTCTACCCTGCTCTCTGTGTCAGGAGCCTGACCCTGCCCACTGGCAGGGACTGGAGGGAGGAGCAAGGGCTGGGACACTGACTTCCCGGCCCCCCAGATCAGAGACTGAAGCCCAGCCTACAGTCAAGGAGCCTCTCATTCTGGGAGCTGCTCCTGTCCCTTACCCTCTGCAGTCCAGGGGTACACATGACTTCCATGCCACCAGCTCCAGGCTGAGAGGCCAACTCCTTGGTTCTCCCACACTCACCTCTGCAAACCATCCTTTCACAAGTCTCCTCGAATTATTCTGATTCCTGATTTTACTTTTTTTTTTTACAACCACACAGAGCAGAGGAGGCTGACACTCAAAGAGATTAGGTCACTTGCCCGGAGTTACAGTATCCTCTGGTCTCTCTGTCACCTGTACTTTACAGCAAGAATCTTCACACCAAGGTGCCACTTGTGTTCTTCAACTCTGGCACGTCCAGGGCGCGCTGAGATTTACAGGAACCGAGTTGTATCCCTGGCCCCCTTTAAGGTGGGTCCTCTCCTTTACAAAAGAAAGGTAAGCTCCAGCGACATCGTGGAAGCAAAACCCTCCGACTTCCATCTGCAGGTCTGTGAGAACGGCATCCCTCGGCGTCCACAGCAACAAAAGTGTAAGACAGGAATTTCAGGGACAACAAATCCGATTACGCTGGGCACAACTCCCCATGAGCTACCTGGAATCCCTCCACCTCCCTGGGAGGCGCATTCAGCAGCCTTGTGTTTAATCCACTGGCGTGGTTCCGTACAACTGTGTACTGCGAAGGACCGTTTTTAAAACTCCAGAGAAAGACGCTCAATACTCGGGGCCCCAGGTCAAAGCGAATGCCTTAAATTCCTCCGTAACCTAAATCTGAACCCCGCACCGCACTGCCTCTGTCTCGGTGGCAGAGTCCTGCGGGGTGACCCTCGAGGCGCCCGCCGTGAGAACACGTCTGTGGGCGCACCAGGAGCTGCGGGCGCGCATAGGTGGGCGTCGACCCCGGGCCCCGGCCCGCTTCACGGCTAATCGCCGACTCACCGGGCGCCCCGTCCCCGGCGTCTCGGTTCCCGGGGCCAGAGTATCCCCGCCAGGTTCTTGCAGGTGGGCGCGGGCCTGTCCGAGGACACCGGCTCCCAGCCCCGTCCGGCGGGCCCTCCCGTGCACCGGCCGCGGCCACCCACGCAGCGCGCGCCCCTCCCGCCCGCACTCACCGGCTCGGAGGACACGTCACTTCCGGGGCATCGGACGCGACCAAGCACTTCCGGGGCCCGCTCCGGGCGCGCATCCCCAATGCACAAGTGCGGAAGATAAGGCCTGCTGACCCGAGCTGGAACTCCGACGGCCTTAAGGCAGTGCGTTTGCGCGGTGGAACCGGACCGGTGGAGGCGGGTGGCCGGAGGCTTGGCACGCACCCTCCTCTAGACGTCGGGCCGGGCCTGGTTGCCGACCGAGGTTGGCGACGCCACCTTCCCTCCCTCCCGGGACGATGTCACCAAACCCTCCGGCGCCCTTCCAGCTTTGTCCCCGCCCACCGGAACACCGCCCCCCCCCCCCGCCTCTCTCGACGCACCCGAGTGCCCCCGAGAAGGAGCGACCCCACGGCTGGCCGCTCGGTGCGTCTCGGGCTGGGGCCCGTCGGCCCCTCTCGGCCTGCCCACTGGTGTGGACGCGCGTGAATCTGCCCGGAGTAATATGCATTGCAGACAAATCGCCTTAATTCCCATTAACTTCACGAAAACTCGCTTTGTAGGATGACTTTCGAAGAACCAGTTTATTCAGAGATTACACCGAAATCATAAACAATCTATACGCCAAACTCCGACGGAAAAAAAGAACCGATAAAGATGTTTTAAAGTGTACTGTACTCACAAATAACAAGACAAATTCGAGCTGTTCGATAAATATAGGTGAATAATGGCTAAAACCTCTTAAATGGAAATAGAAACCGCTTTTCTCTTCGTACAGTTTTTAAGGGATGCCCAGTATTCAGGCCTGTACATATAAAAACTCTGACAAACTCAGGGGCTCCAACCATATGAACTACTGAAGCCTCCTCTCAGACTCCAGAACTCCTGTCCCCCTCATACCATCCAGAAAAACTGAGTTCTAGTACTTCTTAATATGCTAAGTACCGCTGATTCAACAACAAAACCCTGACGGTGATGAGATTTTGCGTACCACGTTGAAGCTGTCAGCACTTCTCAGCATCGTGAATGTGCTTTCACCTTCAGCCTGCTGGATGTGGGAATTGGAAGCAGAATGAGTATCAGTTTCTCACATCTTCCTTTCCGTTTTCACTGGCCTTTCGTGGAAGTAGTCATCAAGAACAAAGCACGATCAACCACACCGCACGGACAATTCATTGTAGCTTAAGCTTTTGCCAACATTCATATCACAGAAAAGATATAATACAGTTAATGAGAAAGAACTGCTGGCACCACTTTTCCCCACAATATTACATAAAAATGGACAACACATTAAATAAACATTCTGTTATTAATCATTAAATATATTAACACCAAAAATTATGTATAAATTAGGAAATAAATGTACAAACTATTTCGCAAAGTGCTTTTAAAAATATATACACAACATTCAAGATATTCTTAATGTAAGACATTTCAGATTGGAGTTTTGAGATAAGTTTTTTAAGTGTCCTTTTCTTTCAAAAAATATTAATACAGCACTTAAAAAAAACACACATAAAAGGCATATTCCCATATTGGCAAGGAATAAAAATAAACTATTTTCACAGTTATCTAAAATGTGTAACATTTTCAATGGGACATTTTAGGTCCCAACTGAGTTTGCAAATTAGTTCTATGAAAATTGCCAGAAAGCAAAAGAACAAAATCAAGGGAGATAACTCCCTAAATGCAATTGCTAATACTTTGTCATTCAGCAATTCCGAACTCATTTCAGTAATCTAATGTGGATATACACATGTATTTTTAAGCCCTTTCCACTGTTGAGGGTTTTTAAACCCTTATGCCTATAAATAAATGCTTCTATCCCCATTTCTGTGTGGTATCTGTCTTACAAAGGGGAGAGTGTCCTAGAATAGGATTGGTACTCGACACAAACAGGTCCTTCCATCCAAGCCTCAGTTCTTCATCTGTACAATGGAAGCAGTAACTGCCTCCACACTTCCCCCATCTGTACAATGGAAACAGTAACTGCCTCCATACTTCCCCAGTTGGGCTGTCAGGATTAGTTCAAACAAAAACTATAAAATGCCTTGTTCTAAAGCACCCAAGTCTGAATAAAGAATTACTTTTGGTTCTTAAAACATAACATTTATCAATTAAAGAAAAACATCATCAGTAGATCTAATGTATCCCTAATGTATCAAGCACTGGATAGTTTTTGTATTTTCTTGGTAGTTTTTGGAAATATGTCAGCATATATCCAAAGATTTACTTTTTTAAAAAAAGGATTCATGTCATATGAACACTATTATCCAGGTAAAGGTTAGCCAAATATTCATGTTACTTATTAGTGGAAGTGACAGATTTTCTCCTTTAACCATAACTTTCCAAGTGAGTTATCTTTAATGTCTGCATAGGATGTAAATGGATTGAATTATCTAGGAATGTAAAAATTACTCAAATTTGTCTATAAAAAAAACCTTTGCTTTTCATTAGAAAGAACACAGTAAAGTTACTTGGGTTCCTTATAAAAATAAGATGTGACAGCTGGGCTCAGTGGCTCAGCCTGTAATCTCAACACTTTGGGAGGCTGAGGTGAGTGGACTGCCTGAGCCCGTGGGTTGGAGAGCAGCCCTGGCATCTTGGTGAGACTTCGTCTCTACAATAAAAATTTTAAAAAGTTAGCTGGGTGTGGTAGCATGCAACTGTAGTTCCAGCTACCTGAAAGGCTGAGGCGGAAGGATTGCCGGGGGGTGGCTGTGAGCATGCCACTACACTCCAGCCTGGACGACAGTGAGACCCTGACTCAGAAAAAAAAAGATGTGAATTTCAACTATACATAAAAGAAAAGGAACGCTTGCTTGGGGATCTGAACCAGTAGGTCCTGGAAGAAATAATATAAAATAAACAACTTGCCAACTGTTTGGAAGAATTGGTGTCAATATTTTGAATTATCCATAAGTTTATAATTGGGCACACTGCACCACATTCAAATCCCAGAATGACTGTCAGATAAACAAGGGTCAAAGCCAGAGTGCTCTCTGATGATGCAATTCCCAGAGAGCTGCCCTCTTTCCCTCAGCAGTACCATTCTCCTTGGGCTAGGCTTGTCGGACACTGCCCCATGGAGTCATGCTTATTTGGAATATCGTCACTGATCCCTCTTTACTATTTAACACAAAAACATACACCTTTCTGGATAAAGGCAGGAAGCAAGAGACACAGGTAATGAGCAAGCTTGGAAACCGTCTGTGGTCTCCCCAAGGGAGTGTGTTTACCCTTTTCACCGTGGAACAGAAGCTGACCTGGAACACAGAAGATTCCCTCCCAGCCACCCTGTCGAGGCGCCAGAGGAGGCCGCCATTGGGGCTGCACGTGCATCAACAGCCAGTTAAAGAAAAGTTCACAACCCATATTACGACAATTGCATGAGGAGAGACCAGACCTGAGGTCTGTTGATACGAACACGTGGACTGTGGTGTCTTTCAGGTGTGTCCTGTTACTGGGCACAGAATACTCCGATGACAAAGTGACCCCCAAAGCTAGCTAGAGACATCAAGAAGGAGTGGGGGACAAAAAAGGACAAGCTCGCCATTGTATTGAAATACAATACTATACACAGCACCAAATGTGTCACACCATCCAAGCACTGTCTCGCACCAGCGGTGCACGCTCGGCGTCATATCCAGCATGAAATGAGCACGCTTCACATGCAGACGTGGCACTGGGTGAAGGGGTAACCAATACGTCACAGTCAGCAGAACTGCCGTGGGCCCATCGATCCCCTGGATGGACACGCTACCACAAGGGCTCCAGTGAGAGTGCATGTCCCTTACTGCTGGTAATTTCCGTACTGGCCCTAAAAGAAATCAAGACACAGATTACACCCTACAGCCAAGAGTGAAAGGGAAGCCAGACTCCCACGCCCAGCTGACACCCAGGACAGAATGGAGGGACGTCTAGGGCAAGCAAGCCAATGGCCCTCTGCCCACACCTATGAGGACAGTGCCACTGGCCTCCTTGAAGCCACACAGTCAAGCCTGTGACTAACAACTAAGATCAGAGAGGGCAGCAGTTAGTTCATTCAGTCATACAATAGGAAACCCCCCCAAAAACACACAATTATCTTTTGGAGGGCAGGCCCCTTGTAGTACAAGCTTCCTTCACTAGGTAAGTGTTCTAGAAACCCATTGGCATCTGTGTACCAGCTAGCATTATTGTGAGAGGCTGCGCTGAGCTTCAGTGAATTTTTTTGGAGATTCTTTCAACACGTTTGCCTATTTCACGATGGGTGATTTATGAGTGCACCTGCCCACACCATGCTGAGTGTTCAGCAGTTTTTGACCAAAACAGCATGACCCCCATGTCCTACCTACCTTCCCTATTCACCTATCTCAATGAGCAACTTTCCCCCCGCCCCATGAAAAAAGTCTTCAAAGGGAAATGTTTTGCGGATGTGGAAGAAATGAAACAAAAAATGGCAGAAGCATTAAAAAGCATCAAAAAGCATCAAATTTGAGTTCAAAAACTGTTTTGAGCAGAGGAAAAAGTGTCTCAATAGATGTATTCTATCGAACAGAGGGTACTTTGAAGGTGACTGACGTTTAAACATGTAAGAATAAACACACAAGCATTATAAATAAACTAAGAGTTTTCTGAGTCCCCCTCGTACACTGGGCTCACTACAGGCCAGGTCAGGTGTGTACATCAGATTCTCATGCTGACCCTACCATGAAGGTGGAACCTCTGTCCCAACTCTCCCCCGCCATGGGAGAAAATGCAGCTCCCTGCCCCACTGAGCCCACTGACGTATGAAAATGAATGTGGAGGTGACCAGGGAAATGGGCTCGAGCAGTAAAAAACCTGAAGAGAGATCTAAAGAGCCTGTGTCCAACCAGTAAGGCCGCAGGACAGGAGGGTTCCTTGGGTAGTTTATGATGAAAAGCCACTCTTCCCCGATTGGTCACTAATTGGAGTTCCTGGGCACCTACAGCTGGGGAGCGGGGAGCCCTCAGGGTCTGCCCAGGAACTCCATCCACTCATTGTTCCCGGAGTCACTCAGGATGTGACATTCTCACTCAGAGGTGGCTATTAAAAGTCTAGCTTGCAGGAATCAATTCCAGTAAGTCTTTCTGTCCTGACACAAGTGAATAAGAGAAAACTGCAAGTCCAGGGCTGATCTACCAGGGCCACAGTCATCCCTGAGTCTCTCAAAATAGCCGGGCGGCCTGACACCTCAGTGCATGTTTAAGTCTAACCCTATGGTTCTCAATGGGGACAATTTTGCCCCCGGGGGACATCTGGCAATGTCTGGAGACACTTTTGGTTGTCAGACTGAGGGGAAGGTGGGGATACTGGATTCATGTGAAAGGCTGGGGAGGCTGCACACACCCCACGCATGTGTGACAGCCCCACAGCAGGACTAGCCAGCCCAAACGCCAGCAGTGCCGTCAGACACCACAGTCATAGCTAAATTTGGATGCTATGAAGACTAGATCACGTTACTGTTGTGGTGTCAGATGGACACCTTCCTCCTAAAATGTGAAATTCTCTGTCTTCTCTGTTGCTTTGTGCCTTTTTTTTTTTGAGTTGGGGGGTCTCACTCTGCCACCCAGGTTGGAGAGTAGTGGCATGATCATAGCTCACTGCAGCCTTGACCTCCTGGGCTCAGGAGACCCTTCCGCCTCTGCTTCCTGAATAGCTGGGACTACAGGTAGGCACCATCACACTAAGCGAATTTTTTTTTTTTTTGAGTTGAATCTCACTCTGTCATCCAGGCTGGAACACGGTGGCACGCTCAAGCCATTCCAGCATCAACCTGCTGGGCTCAGGCAACCCTTCCACCTCAGCCTTCCAAGTAGCCGGAACTACAGGCACATGTTACCACACACAGCTAATTTTTGATTGTAGAGATGAGGTCTCGACAAGTTGCCCGGCCTGGTCTCAAACTCACGGACTCAGGCAATCCACTTGGCCCAGCCTCCCAAAGTGCTAGGATTACAGGCTGAGTCACTGAGCCCGGCCACACGCAGCTAATTTTTAAAGAATTTTTGTAGAGATGGGGTCTCACTATGTTGCCTAGGATGGTCTCAAACTCCTGGGCTCAAGGAGTCCTCCCACCTGGGCCTCTCAAAGTGTTCGGACCACAGGCATAGAGCTACCGCACCTGGTCCAAGAATCATTCAAATGACTTGAATTTAACATGCAGTCACAGACTGCCGCCCTTTTGAGCTCCAGGCTGAGGCTTGTGTGCATGCCTGGAAGGCTAACCTGGAGCCTAACGGTGCCGGCATGCACCGGGAAAGGCCCCCTCCATTGCTGTGGTGCCCCTGGCAGCCTGTGCTCACAGAGGTTTCTGAACACCTGCTTAGATGCTGATCTGGGCCTACTCCACACTGTGCTGCAGCTCAGCCTACTCTGTACACTTGGCCCACCTCTTCAGGGAGCAGGACAAGAGGCATTCAGAAAGTAACACTGGCATCTTACCTACCAATTACCTGAGGAAAACCCATCCATTTCATCAGTGGTATAGACTGTCACTAACACCTCCTGCCTAGTATAGAGTCACTGGCAATGGTCAGCACCTATTAATGACACTTCAAAGGAGGCTCCAACCAATGTCCACGACTACTCTCCTCCTCACGGCACCACCCTCCTAGGTGCCCTGTGCTCCAGCCTCCCAGCCTCCTTCATGCAGCTCTCAGCATGACAAACCTCCCCTGCCCAAGGACTCTGCCATGCCATCCTCCATGCCCAGCTCGTTCTCCTGAGGCCCTCGGTCCTTGCAGTGCTTCAGGCAGACCCCGTCCTCTCCCAGGGCCCTGTGTCACTCAAGAGCACATGGCCACTCCTTTGGGCCCATCCACCTGCTGCCAGCCTCGTCACCCTGCCAGGCTTCTGTGATTGGCTCTGCTCCCGCCATGCTGGCCTCCCGGCTGTCCCAATAGCCCTCATGCCTCTGTCTCCCAGGAAGCTCCTACCTTGGCTCCTTCTGGGCCCTGCTCACTGTCGCCTGGGCAGACAGGCTTCCCCTTGTAACAGACATGTTACAAGACAGCCCCTTCCCCTGGTATCTTCTAGAACTGTTCGCACCTGACACCGTCTGCCTGTCGCCCACCCCCCCTAGGAAGGCAAGATCCACAATGGCTCCTCTGCTCTGCATTCTGTGCCCAGAGTAGTGTCAGGCTCTGCTGGACAAGCAATGACGTCTGGAGCGAGACATGAGCTCTAGAAGTGTGTGGGCCTCGACACCGCCACATCTCAAGTGTCCAGCAGACCTGCAGCGGACCGGGCCAATCAATGTTTGCAGCATGAGTGAGTGAGTGAGAGATTGCACATACACGCCTATCAGCAAGTTCAGGATACAGCCAGCTGAGGTGAGCGGACATAGGACCTTCCAGGCTCAGAGAATGAACAACCCGAAGGGGCTTGGAAGCCAATTCGTACCATCTCATGACTCCTCAGGAACATAAGAGAAAAGTTCACTATGTCTTGACAGACATGGCTGTGGGGGAGCAGAGGGAGTGTGCCAGGAAACCCCCAGAAAGCTTGCCTGCTCGTAGCCGTAAGGCCGCTGCTGCTGGGCGGATGGTCCTGTCTGCGACGCTCGGTAGCTCCCATACTGCTGGCCTTGTCCTTGCTGGTAGCTGGGGTACTGCGACGGGGCACCCTGGGCAGGCCCTGAGGAAACACAACAGGCCGTGAGACCAGCCTGCCGGCTCATGGTCCTGGGAAGACCTCCAAAACACCCGCCCCTGTTCGTCCTTGACATCAAATCGCACACCCTCCAGTCCTGGAGCCCCAGGACCATGTCCCCACCCTGCCTGCGGGTCTCCCTTCAGCACCTATGCTGCCGCTGCCCAGAGGCTAGAAAGCCATGGGTCAGAACCAGTGCCAGCTACAGAGGTGGCTTTATACTCCTGAATTATTTAGCACCAGAGCCAGAGGCAGCTTTGGAAGAACAAATAAAGGCCAAGGAACTGTCAAATGCTGTTTAATTGGCTGTGGCTGTAGAGGTTGAACTTTAGACTATAAAAGACTAAATGCCAACTTTAACCTAACTCCCTTCCTTCACTCCTCCTTCCCTCCCCAAAATGACAGAATCACACGTGAGCTTTGTGAGGAGGCCTGCATGTGGTGTCCACCCTGAGAGTTGAGGTTTTGCTCCAGCTGGCCTGGGGTGGCCCCAGACCTTATCTTTCAAAAGCTTTTTGGGAAATTCTGAGGTGAGCAAAGGCTGAGACACACAGACCTTGACTCGTTTCCTCAACAGGGCCAATGCTGGATGGGAGGGCAAGGCACTGGGTGAGTGGGTTCCGGAAGGGTATAACCCCCACCCTGGTCAGGAGACCTCATGGCAACGAATGGATGTTTCTATTTCAGTTAAAGTTAGGGTTTCAGGTCTACATGTGTAGCTGTTTTCTGAGTACTCCCTTAACTCTTTGGATAAACCAATGACCTCCTCCTTCAGACTGTATCAGGCAGGAGGGCTTTTACTGAATTTTTTCTGTTTTTGGGTGGGGGGGGTCTCACTCTGTCACCCCAGCTAAAGGCAGTGGCATAATCACAGCTCACTGCAGTCTTGAACTCTTGGGCTCAAACAGTCTTCCTACCTCAGCCTCTCAAGTAGCTGGGACCACAGGCACATGCAACCTGGTTACTTTTTTTTCATTTTTTTTGTAGAGACAAGGTCTCTTTATGCTGCCCAGGCTGGTCTTGAACTCCTGGGCTCAAGCACTTCTCATGCCTCAGCCTCCCAAAGCGCTGGGATTACGGACATGAGTCATGGTGCCTGGCCACTACTGTGTATTTTAAATGTTAACAGTTTTTATAGTTGTCACAGGACTAAAAAACAGGAAATCTGGATGTGGGGACACAGAAATTCTGTGTACTATCTTGCAGTTTTTCTGGACATCTGAAACTACTCTACAAGAAGCCTCTGAAGTGTCCACAGCATGCCAGGTGGCCATGGGCAAGCCCTGCTGGGCCAGCGGGCAAGCAGGCGCGGCTCCGAGAGGTGCTTATCTTACCGTAGCCCTGCTGCTGCCCGGGGTAGCTCTGCTGGTTAGGGTACTGCTGCTGTGAGTAGGCCTGCTGCTGGGCCGTGCCCTGCTGGTACCCGGCCTGCTGCTGGCTGTACTGGGAGCTCCCTGCAGAGAGGAGGAGACGTGGAGCTCACCTCCCAGTCGTGAAGGCAGCTCAGCTTACCCGCCGCCGCCACTCACCCCGGAGCCCGAGACCAGACCTACTGCTTCAATATGCTTGCTTCTTCATGATGATTCCATCGCTGTACTACATTTTCTCTTATTATTTTATAAAAATATAAACTGAAAGTCAAAAAAATGAAAGGGTGAATACTACAATTAAGTTAGAGATGAACACCGGGACTGCGGGTCCCTAAGAAGATGCTGTAGTCCCAAGCCCCAGTCCATGTGAAGGGGACATGGGTGACTCAGACATAGGGTCTTTGCAAATAGAACCATTAGGATAAGGTCCTACTGGCTTGGGGTGGGCCCCATTTCAAGGACTGGCGTCCTCAGAAGAAGAGGAAAACATGAACAGACACCCAGGCAGAGGCCATGTGACGGAGGCAGAGACTGGAGTGACTCAGTCACAAGCCAAGGTACCCAAGGACTGCTGTGGCCCTGAGGCTGAAGCAGAGTCTCCTTCAGAGTCCCCAGGAGGGGGCCAGCCCTGACAGCACTGTGATCTCAGACTCCTGGCCCCGACTATGAGAGAATAAGTCTCACTGTGGTTTATCTACCATGCCACCCAGTCTGTGGCACCCTGTGGTGACAGCCCCAGGAGACCAGTCTCACAAGTGAACATGCCAGAAGCGAGGCCCAGAAGTCAGTGCATTCGAGTAGCTGGCCAACCTGGAAGGCTGTAAAGGACATAATGAGGCGACAAGCACGCCCGGCGTGAAAGCATGTCCTGAACAGGCCTGGCGTGATGAGAGGAAACAGAGTCCTAAATCCGTAGACTAGGATTCGCAGAGATGGACAGGGGCACAAGATGTTTGTTTTTCCGGGACATCAAATATTACACAGATTTTCTTATCAAAATGCGTCCCAGAAATAAGAACATGGAGACACCACAACAGGAGGCCAAATTATGACAACCACTATTCAGAGTCCATTTTTCTTTTGAGACAAGGTCTCACTATGTTGCCCAGGCTGGAATGCTGTGGCTCAATTATAGTTCACTGCAGACTCAAACTCCCAGGCTCAAGGGATTCTCTTGCCTCAGCCTCTTAAGTAGCTGGGACTAAGGCATGTGCCAACACACTCAACTAATTTTTAAACTTTTGTGGAGACGAGGTCCCGCTATGTTGCCCAGGCTGGTCTTGAACTTGTGGCCTCAAGTTATTCTCCCACCTCAACCTCCCAAAGTGCTGGGATCACAGGTGTGCCACCACATCCAGCCTGATGAACTCTGGTTCATCTCCTTTACTTTTCTGGCTGTAAATAACTTTCCTTTTCCAGGAGCTGTAACATTAAGTATCTGAACACTGGATCCCAGTAATACATTTTTTGTTTTAAATAATAGCTTTGTTAAGATACTTCACACTAGAAGGGCTTAGATACCTACTAGGGAAATATAATTTGTAGTTAAATAGTTACTAAAAGGAAAATGTACTCTGACCCAAGGTTGACTTCCTCCCTGAGATGACGATGATTAGAAATCTACTTGAGTCTTTCCGACTGCTCCCCATCTAAGAAAGCACCCTGTGTCCTTCCCACCTCTCCTTCCCCCATATCACCACCACCACTCTGGCCATAGAATGGCCACAGGGTATCCTGGCAGGAGGAAACTCAAGTTCGCTGCTCTCGATCCGCCTTTGCAAAGTCACCTGGAGCAGGGGCTTCTCAGGGGCCCACGTTGTGTCGGTGTGCACATCCTCACGTTTCAACGGCCCCACTTTACGTAACAGCAGAGGAACCAGTTAGCCAAGGGGCGGCTTTGCCCAGGCACACAGCATGGTACGTGATTGTGGGGAGGATGGTGCAGAAAACAAGTTCCTGTGTGGGGACCAGACCTTGGCTCTCAGACCTGGAAATCCCCAGCAACCCAGTATGAGGAGCAACAAGCAGGGACAGGGCATGGCATTTATTGAACCGTACAGGTTCCAGAGTGTTTTGTGAAGCCAGTGGAGCTGGAGAGAGCCCAGACCAGCTCCTCCTAGAACAGCTCAGAACAGCAAGGGGCTGTAGGGCTCTTTCCCTCTGTTAGCGCATAAGCCACTATTCCTTTTCCATTCTTTCCCCTTCTTAGTATCTAAGCACCTTGCCAAGTCCTGTGGTGTGGCCTCAACAAGGTCAAGGGCCGTGGTGTTGATGTCAGAAAGAGGCCAGCTGTCACAAATGCGCTCTGCAAACCCGGCCACGGGAACAGATGAGCCATCAACTCCAACGTGTCACACAATGCCACAGTGTCCATGCAAGGACTCAGCAACTAGGGAGGATGTGCCCCACCAGCCCAGGTCACACTACCCTGAATGTCCACTCCTGAGACGCATTGGTCACCACGTGGTAAAATCCTGAGAAACACACATAGGCCACACATGGTGACACCCAGGACTCTAGGAGGTGTGGCCAACGTGGACAGCCCTGAGGCCAGGCCCTTTTGTCTCCATGACAGCCAATAAAGTTGAATGACAACTTGACTTCCCAGTCCACAGAAGTGACTCAGAAGCATGAGAACAAGCAGACCCACTCCCAAGGGACCCAGAGGAGGGGCCTCTTGCACCCTGCCCAGGCTGCCCAACTGCACCCCCTTCCCTGTAACCATTTATTGCTTTCTTGGGTGTCTTTTCTGGGTCTGCTTAGGGTGCAAGTGTGTACATGGGCACACAGTCTCATCTTTGTTGTACATACCAGGTGCATCTCAGACTTACTCCCTCTACACTTGGTTTTCAGCAGCTAGTGAGGAGACCTGATGGCCATGGCACCCACCAGTCACATCATGATGGCTCGGGCTTTTTCTAGTTTGTGTTGTCCCAAGGCTCCCTGAGGTGCTGACACAGCAGGACCTGCACACTTTCTTCTGGCTTAATCCACCGAGCCCCAGGCAGAACCCTGGCTGCATCCTGATGCCCCTGTCCTGCACAGGTGGCTCCGTGGCCCTGCTGTCCCCCCATCACTAGCACTCTATGCCTCAGCACACTCTTTTGATGGGACTGCACAGGCTTCTGCAGACGCCGCTTCTGCAGATGCCGCCCCAGGATCCACTGGGGTTGATGCCACATTGGAAAGTTCTTTATGATGGCTTCAACCTACCCCTCAGAAGCTACGCCACATTCTCTTCATGGCACCAGAGGCCACGACTGTTTGAAGGTGGCTACGATGCATCCCCCCAGTCTCCTCAGAGCAAACACCCCAGCCTCTCACCCTTACAAGGCCCATGGGGTGATGGCCTGTGACTCATATGCATGGGTCTAATGAACACAGAGAGGGAACAGAACACTGATAAATCAAGGAGGAAACCATGCCGTCTGCCTCACTTGTCTTAAGGGGTTACAACATCTTTTAGCAAACTTCTGGTCAGGTTTGGAAGCGAGAACATGTAACCTGAAACACGGGAACAAAAGGAAAGTATTTCAAACTGCAAAAGGCTGAGTGGTATGTACTACACTTGTCCTGGGGCCATCACTTCTGGACAGAGCAGCTGCCTGGAGCAGACACACTCGGGAGGCCTCACCACGGACAAGGCCAGCCCTATGCTCCAGGCGGTGGTGGGGAGGGGCCACAGGTCTCAGAGGCCCAGGGCTGGTGGAAAGGTGGTTATGTCCCGTGACAGGAGATGACCTCACACATAGGCCCGTGGCTACTTAATTTCTGTAAGCTTCTGTTACTTATGCACATACTTTCAGTTTTCTCCCAGCTTCATTAGGGTGTAACTGACAAACATTGTGTGCATTTACAGTGTAGTGTGCTTTGACCCATGGCTAATTTCTTCATAGCCAGCTGAGACCTGGAAGCGCCACAGCAAAAATTCTGTACATCCCAATCTCCAGAAAATAGCCCAACGAGCAGATCCACAACGTGAGAGCCTGTCTGCCTTGTGTACTTTCTGTTACCTCTTGATAAAATGGGCCCTAGTGGGAAAGCCCTGGTCACTGACACCCTTGGACAGTGTCCTGACTCACAGCCCTTCTCCCAGGGACTATGGTCCTCCTCTTCTTTTTTTTTTTGAGTTGGAGTCTCACTCTGTCGCCAAGGCTAGAATGCAGTGGCACACTCCCGGCCACCGCTTTCGACCTGCTGAAATCCGGCAATCCTTCCGCCTCAGCCTTCCAAGTAGCTGGAATTACAGGCATGCGCTACCATACCCAGCTGATTTATTTATTTATTTATTGTAGAGAGATGAGGTCTTGTTGCCCAGGTGGGTCTCGAACCTGCGGGCTCAGGCAATCCACTCACCTCAGCCTCCTAAAGGCGCAGGATTACAGGCTGAGCCACCGAGCCCGGCTGGTCCTCTTCTAATGAGGTCATGAAGTCCTGTGGGTTGCTCAACTCTCTGGGGGCCATCTTTACCCCACAGGGGCTGAAACCACCTAACACCTGCCCAAGAACCGACTGTGCATATCTCTTCCCAACTCCATGTTCCGGGATGTTCCCTGAGGCTTCAAGTCAGCCAGGGTGGGTGTATTGACACCCTGGCAATGGGCAAGTGCTATCAAGCAGGGCTTCATGCTGGGTTTTAAGTGGCAATCCCCCGCTCAGCACTGCCTGGACCATACCACACAGGGCTGCAAGCCCCCGGCCACGAGTTGCGCTTCACTTGGCCGGCAAGTATTTGAAGAAACATCAGGCCACACTCAACACAGCCACAGATTCCACACGCACTATTTGCCTGGCTTAGCCCCTGCCAATGACCAAGGCTGGAACTATGAATGCCCTTGGCCTAGGAGGCTCTGAGAGTAGCTCATAGGCCCCCGCTGGGCGAATGGGCAGATGGCCAAGTATGCCCCTGCCCCAGCATGCTGGCTAAATTCTCTCCTGTTTCAAGAACGCAGCCGGCATCTCCAGAGTCCAGAAGAAAACCTGGTTTCATGATACTCCATCAGCGGCCTCCATATCTGTTCCCTGCCAGATCGTGATGAAGTGAAACTTACTGCAGGGGGTACCACTTGCTCCTACAGCATCCTAACTGCCCCAGCATTTACCACAGCCCCGTGACCTGTGCTCCACACTCCACTCACAGTGGTCGTCTACGTGGCCCCGTGCCCTGTGGTCCTTACCCCGCCCCCATAGTAGTAGTCTACATGGCTCTGTGTTCCTTATTCCCCCCATAGTAGTGGTCTATGTGGCCCCATGCTCCTTATCTACCTAGCAGTAGTTGTCTACATGGTCCTGCGCTCCTCACTCCCTCATAGTAGTCATCTAGGCAGTCCTGCTCCCCTTACCCCCCTCAGAGTAGCATAAATGCTGCCTCACGGTCTATAACTCACATTCCTTGCCCCCCTCACAGTGGTCGTCCACATGGCCCATGCCCCGTGCTCCTTACCCCCCTCATAGTAGCATCTATGTAGCCCTGTGCTCCTTATTCTCCTCTTAGTAGCATCTACATGGCCCTGTGCTCCTTACTCCCCTCAGATTCCACACGCATGATCTGCCTGGCTTAGCCCCTGCCAACGACCAAGGCTGGAACCATGAATGCCCTTGGCCTAGGAGGCTCTGAGAGTAGCTCACAGCAGCCCCGTGCTCCTTACCCCCCTCGTAGTAGTGCTGTGTGGATTCCTCAAATGCCCGGTCGTAGCTCTGCTCCGTGTAGGACGACTGCTGGTAGGCATAATCGCTATGGCCTGTGGGAAACCAGAAGGGAGACAGTCCATGGAGGCCTTGGACATAGAGCCCTGTGGGACACCTGGGCACCAGGATGCAGCCACGCTGCCAGGCCGGGGACACACTCTCAGTCCGGCACGGACACTTCCCCACAGTGTCACACCTGGGACCTCTCTGAGCCCTGGCCTCCTCATTAGCACACAGGCCCCAAGTCCCACTTCTGGGGGACCAGTGAAGTGTATGAAGGGCACTGTATGAAGGGATCAGGCATGTCGGGCACCCACTGCCCTCCTCGCCCGTCCCCCAGCTCCTGGGACCCACCATGAGGCCTGTGCCGTGACCATCACAAGGCAGGGGACACCGGCTTGTCCTGTGGCAGATCTGTCACCTTCCCACCTCACCTCCTGACTTGGCCATGCTCCCTGCCTTGAGCCATAGCTGAGGCTGCCTTCCCGCCAGACTTCTTCCTGGAGTCTATTTTCATCTCTTGAAATCAGTCCATGCTTTGTTACTTTTTTTAAAAATAGAGATGGGGTCTCACTCTGTTGCCTAGGTTGGGAGTGCAGTGCTGTGACCACAGTTCATGGTAGCCTTGAACTCTTTGGTTCAAGCAACCCTCCCACCTCAGCCTTCTGGTTAGCTGGGACAACAGGCACATGCCACCCACCAGGGCAAGTTTTATTTTTTTGTAGAGACAAGGTCTTACTATATTGCCCAGGCTAGACTTGAACTCCTGGCCTCAAGCAATCTTCCAACCTCAGCCTCCCAGAGTGCTAGCATTACAGGTGTGAGCCTCCATGCCTGGCCCTCTACCGCCTTAAATGCCACCTCCACAAGTCTGGAACTGTTAAAAGATGATTGAAAGGTGACAAAAGGAACATCATCTGCAGAGACCACAAGCGGCAGCTTGAGGCACTGCAGGTGAGGCCATCACCTTCCAGCGCTGGCTGCGGAGCAGGGTCTGTCTGATAAACATTGACCTGTCTGTGGCTGGGGCTGCACGCCCCACCTAAAAACTCTTGCTGCCTTTCAGGAAAGGGAGGTGAGGATCCATGGAGCCAATGGTGGCAGCATGTGCCGGAAGATTCTCTCTGCGGAGAACAGCGCCCGGCCAGACCAGCCCCCAGCCCCTCCTCAAACATGCCCACGCCAGGGCTTCTGGGTGCTTTGCTGGCAGAGCAGCAGGGCTATGGGTGTGAGAGCTGGGACCCAAGGATGCATGGAGGCGACGCCCTCTGTGGAGCGGCCAGGAGGGCGGCGCTCACCGTCGGGGTAGTACTGCTGGCTCATGGGCTCCGAGGCGCCCTGGCTGTGGCTGTACTGCTCGCCGTAGTACTCCTCCTGGCCCAGGTACTGCTGGGAAGAGCCTGCGGGGACACCAGGGCCGCTGCTGCGGTGTGCTCCCCCACAGGGGACCCCTGAACCAAGCCCCCGCCAAGCGGTCCGCCAACCAGATCGCTTCGTGGTGCCACCCAAGGGGACGGCACAGCCTCGGTCACCATCCTTCTCCTCCTCCAACTCCCAGGCCCGATACTCTGGACTTTGCATGGATGACAATGGCCACCCCTGCCCCAACCCCACAGCCCGAATCTGCTTCCCCATGGACGGCAGACCCCTCAGCAGGCCCCACCCCGGTTTAGGACCCCCGACACCCCTCACTCAATACAAATGAAGGCACAAAGCCTCATGCCCCCGCTCCCATCAACAGAGAGACACGCAAGGCCTGGGGCTTCACACCAACTGCATTAGGTGGCCCCGCGGGCGTTACCTTGCTGGGAGGGCCGGTAGGGTGCCATGGGCCGCTGCCCCATCATGCTGTTCCCCTGGCCGCCCTGGCCCATCATGGCCATGGACGACTGGCCCTGGTAGTGCTGGCTCCCGCCCTGCGCCGAGGTGTAGTGGGACGTGGCCGCCTGCTGGTGCATCATGGAGACTGCGTGACATGACAGAGATCCCACATCAGCCCGGAGGCTGCCAGGATGGGGTCCTCCCCTCCCCTCTGCCCTTCAAACCCCACTACTACCCCTTCAGCTGATCCTTACTGTCTTGTGGTACCCCACACGAATGTTACCCTCAACTCCAAGTCACACCTCCTGCTAAATGACCTGCGCTGACACTAGCATCCCGCCAGACCCAGCCACCTGTGCCCAGTGTTTTTAAATGTGCTGATATTCAGAAAACAAAGAGAAGAACTTCTGGTAGGAAGACCTGGGGCCCCCACAGCGAAGAGAAACTCCTCTCTGGGTATCCCCTTGGCTACAGCACCCACAACAACCCTGCTTCCACCTGGCTCGAGTCCTGTTCTTCCTTGTCCTCAGGTGATCTCAGGAGTCACACTGCCACTCTTGGACCACCTCCGCAACTCCAGCCCTTTAGGCTGGTGGTGGACTGCTCCCTGCCTGCTGGTCTATCCCTACACACCAGCTGCTTAGAACCCCCTCAAGGAGCCCCATCCAACAGAAATACAACATGAGCCACATGTGGTGAAGGATTTCTAGTAGCCACATTGAAAAAGTAAAAAGAAACAGCTGAAATCAATTTTAATCATACATTTTATTTGAGTCCATGTATCCAAAAATCAACTTTCAACACGCAGTTATCATCAAGAAACATCAAGGGTCCTTTGCATCCCTCTTGGTCATAAGCCTCTGAAACCTGGCATGTCTCTGACACTCACGGAACCTCTTGGTTGGGACCTGCTGCTTCCCAAGCACCCAGAGACACATAGGCCCCTGGTCAACACAGTGGAGGTAGCCCAGCTCCAGGGGCTCCTGCTGCCCCAGAGAAGGCCTGGTCCTTTGGCCTGGTGATCGAGGCTGTTCTCTACATAGGAAGGACTCACCGACCTCCACGGGCCCAGTGCTCTCCTTCCAGACCCAAGTGCCCTCTCCTGAAGCCTTCTCTGAGCTCCATGGGAAAAAGGCCAGTTCGCCTCAGCTAGGGGGATGGCTGTGCTCCATGGAAGCTTTTGGGAGAGACAGCCAGAACAGACTCACCCTCTCCTATCCTCCAGTGCCCAACAGGAGGGCAGTCTCTCGGGGACCACACACACACACCCGGCCATGTGTTTCCAAGGGTCTCGGAGACTGGCCCATGCTCCCTGGGGCTCAGCGGGGGCAGAGAAGGTACCTGGGTTGGATTGCATGTTGATGTTGGTCCGTGACACATAGTTGCCAATGGCGCCCTGCCCCTGCATGGGGACGCTCTGCGAGGCAGGTCCCGAGTGGCTATAGCCAGGTCCCGAGCCATGGCCGCTGCCTGACATGCTCATGGAGGTGGTAGGCAGTGTGCTCTGTGCTGTCTGCTGCATGGACACGTGGTTTGGCCCTGCCAGGAGAGTGGGGGAGAGATATCAGGTGCTGGGGTGCCAGGCTACACCCTCTGAAGGTGAGGACACCCTGAGATTGGGGAGGGAGGCTAACATGTCGTCAGTGACATTCCATCAGTTAATGAACTAGGAAATATACACACGTGCCACCAAAGAACAAGACAAGCTACACCGTGCTGCCATGTGACACTCACTGCCACCATCATGCATCCATCTCACCCGAAGATGGCAGCATTTCATTCTCAGAAAGCCCACCCAGAACCCTGCACTTTGCACTTAAAGTGGCTGGATGTGATGGGGTCAAAAAGGGTAGGGGGCCTGGAGTAAGCGCCATATCCCATCTGCATGTCAATCCCGTGTGCCTGCCTCCATGCCCAGGTGTCAGCCGCTAACCTGCAGCAGAACCTTGGGAGGAGAGGTTGCCAGAACCCAGCCTCTTGGGGCATGGGGTGCCCCACCAGAGTCGCTGGCCATACAAGGGCTACGTCAGTGACCTCATAGCCAGAAATGTCCCTCCCCCAGCCACACTCACCATTGCCGATCTGGCCCTGCATGAGTGAGGACGGTGGCAGGCCCGTGCTGATGGTGTCGCTCAGGCTGCCCTGCGCATGAAGGCCCTGGCTGGAGCCGCTCTGCGCCAGCGCGCCGGGGCCCAGGTTCATGTTCTGGGTGGGCGGCTGCGGGCAACAGGAAGGTTTCAGGAGGACGCCTCACTCAGAGCGCCCGCCGCAGCCAGTCCATGGACTGGACGGTGTGCAAGACGTGCCGCCACCTCTCATGGCCACCTGGGAACTAGCAACAGCTACCGTCACGTCAGATGATCGCGGGTTACAGGCCAAGACGGAGGTGCCGCGAGCGGTCTGTGTAAACATTCAGAACCAAGCGCCGGGCTCATCAACACACTGGGGTGTAGGAAGCTGGGACCCATCTCCTCGAGTAACTGGCTGCAGCCCCTTTGTACCTGGGGCCTTTGCACAGCACACCACACTGCTTTCTAGACTCCTTCCCCCCCAGGCCCACCTGGGATCACAGGATGCAGGAGGGAGAGCTTAAGCGGCCTCCCACACCTCACCTCCCAGATCTAGATCAAACTGCAGCTCCAGAGGTTTGCACACAGACACTGTCTACATCTGGCCAAGAAAATGAAGCTGCCAGGGGATTGTGAGGTATTACAAAGCAAGGAACCCCAATCTGACAAGTCAGTCAAGGGGGGCTTGAACATTTTTACCTACAAAACACATCTTGGCATTTGTAACGCCCCACTTTCCAGGGAACAAAGGACATCAAGAGGGTGCCATGCCTGGTAACGTGGCTGCCTGGAACCTGGTACTGGGCATGGTTGGCCCTTCTCAGGGCTGTGCCTTCCCACTCAGCAGGAAGGAGGCCGCAGCCTCAAGACCTTGCCTTTGCAGTACTAATTTAATTTGGGAAAAAAGTGCATTAAAAAAACATATAAAATATTTAAACTACCACGTGAAGCTAGGCTGGGCATTTTTTGCTGAAGTTTTGTGTTCAGTCACAGCAGCACGTAGTGTAACTACCATGCTCAGACGATCCACACGGCTACACGGAATACAGGAACCCCTCCCCCACTGCTCCCCAATCCAGCCCAAGCAGCAGCATCAGCCATTCCTAGGATGGATCTGCCACGATTGCCTCCCTTTGCTAAAGAGGCTGGAGCCACAGTTCTGGCCCTCCCACTCCAGACACGATCCCATCACCCTGCAAAATAGGAAAGGCCGTGGCACTGTCCCCCAGGCCTGCTGCTGACAGTGCTAGTGGGATTCTGGCTCCATCAGTGTCCGCCACCTGAGGTTCCACGCTAGCTCTGACTTCAGGCAGTGTCCAGCTCCTGGCCCAGGAAGCATGGGACCCCCCGCCCCATGTCTGTGGTACTCACGGCAGGGAGCAGGGACTGCATGTTCTGGTTGGAGTCAGCGATCGTGGCCAGGTAGACCAGGTTCCGGTGCAGGATCTGCTGGTACCTGTGGATGACGAGTGCATGTGTGAGGGGAGGACACAGCCTTGTGTCTGCAGTCTGATCCAAAGCAGAGGAAAGTGTCACTGTGACAGCCTAACATCCAGTCATACCCCATTCGAACTCCGGCCCTAGACAATACCCAGCGATGGGCCCAGCTGCTCAGGTTGAAAGAGAGACAGAAGGCAGGGCACCAAGGTGCAGGGGCAGCCTCCAACCTCTGTCCCACGAGAGACACCCTGAAGGGACCCTAAAGGGATGGTTAAGCAGAAGGTGGCACCAGGTCTGTCCAGGGAATGGAGATGTTGGGAGAGACCCGAGGAGGGAGGGACCTGGATGTGATAGGAGGCCAGGACAGAGCCCTCCTCCAGCAGAGTCAGCTAACTCCACAGTGACAGGAATGCCCGAGAAAGATCTGGAAGGAGATGGGCAGCACATTCCACCAGGAAACACCCTGGGTTCCAAGGCCCCGCACATTTCTTCCCTTCAGGCAGGTCTGACAGCCGGCTCACATGCCACTCCGCGTCAGGCCCTAAGGTCTCAGGAGGTCCCCCTGGGGAGCCTGGTGTCCTCTGGCGTGTTCTCTACTGGCCATGGTACTGGCCTAAGTGCCTGGCCGGAGTCTCTGTGATACCCCCGTTGTCCTGTCTCCCTCCAAACTGCTCCAGTCCTGGTGGCAACACCCCCCACCTCTCTTCTGGGAAGGGGCAAGGAGGGCAGGGGGCAGTGACTCACTGCGTGCACTCGGCTGTCTTGCCCTTGCTCTGGTACTCCAGGATGCACTGGATCAGGTGGTGGTTCTCATCCAGCATCTGTGGAGACAGGTGAGCAGGCGTGCTTGCACACAGCTGCCGGGCTTCCCACCTGGGACACACTGGGCCAGCCCTGAGGGCGACAGCTGTGGTCTAGTCTTCACACAGGCTATCTCCCCTGTGTGAAATGCTTAGGACCAGCGGAGTCTTGGACTTCAGACTTTTTCAGGTTGTTGAATGCACCACACGCACCATTCAATATCCCTGATCCAAAATGCTCCAACAAGTATGTGCTTTGAGCACCATGTAGTGCTCAAAAAGTCTCAGGTTGCAGAGCATTTGGGATTTCAGGATTTGGGATGCTCAATCTGTACATAAGACTATTACTGCTGTGCATGACCTCAGCCACCATGGACTCAGCATTACTACATCCCTGTGCTGAGCACCTCACTCCAAGCGCCAGGGTCCTCTCGGCCCCATCTGGCCCCACAGCTGCAGGACCCTGCAGCTTCCAGGGTCCTCAACCATGGTGTGTTGGTCCAGCAAGAGTTGACCAAGAGGCTACAGCAAGGATGCGGGGACCCCAGGGGTACACCACACGAGGCCCCAGAGCCCCCACCAGAGGGGTGGCACAGCCTCAAGCTATAGCCCCCAGGGTCAGACAGGGATTCTGGGAGCTCCCTGCAGAAGCACTGGGAATTTTTCCTATGGGGGCGAAACCAACCTGGGCTGGGTGGAGTAGGACAGGGCCTGAGTGGGAGGGGATGTGGCACCAGCAGGAGGAGCTGCATGTACACAGGCCAGGGCAGGGAACTTGTGGGGGTGGGGGAGAATGAGGAACTGTGCAGGACTCAGACTGGGGCTGCCCCATAGCCTGCACCCTTCAACGGATCCTCACTGGCTGTGTGCTAAGATGCAAGAGGTGGAGCAGAGGGCGGGGTCCGTGCTGCAGAGGGAAGGTCAGTTTTGTCTGCTGGCCCTTCAGTCAGTTTCACACTTGTGTGCATAGTCACACCGACAGGGTTGTGATCTAAGCCCAGGTGAATCCAATCTTCTGGAGTGACACAGCCTCACAACTGTACAGCTGCACTCAGACCTCTGGCTGGGCCAGGGCACTCCCTGAACTGGCAAGACATGGGCAAGACAGGGCCTCTGCCTCCCCCAAAATATGCCAGGTCAACTCAACCTGGGGAGGGTCCCCAGGTAGGAGTTCTGCAGTCCCCTGGAGAGGGGAGGGCCACCTATCTGCACCAGCCCTGGAGCCGCCCAGCCTCCCTCCTGACATGGGGCCCAAACCTACCCATAGGTAGGCATCCAGGACACAGACAGCCTGGTCAGGCCACCTCGAGGGTGGAGTCCAGACCCACATCCACCCTCTCCTGACTCCCTCCTCCTCTACCCACTCATCCTCCTTGCCCTGACTCATCTTCCTCCCCGGCCCCTAGTCTCTCTGACTTCAAGAAAGGTTTCTCTTGTTCCTCCTCCCAACTCTTCACTCCTAGGACCAGTGATGCCCAACTCGGCAGAGAAGCAGTCCTGAGAGAGGAGTCACCAGGGGGCGCTGCTGGCCAGGAGTGTTCCCCGGAGGGCAGGTGGGGGGTATGGCAGGCTGGGAGAGGGTGCCCAGCTTCTCAGGGTCCACCCCTCCAAGGCTTCCTGGCTTTCTCCAGCTCCCAGTATGGCTCTCCAGGATACCAGCAGACACCTGGAGTGCCCACCACCACACCCACTCCTCCCAGTCTCATGCCCAGTGACTCCACCATGGGGATTTGCTGTCCACAGGGGTAGCTTAAGCAGTAGTTATGTGGGTGAGATCTGCTCCCAAATGCTGTGAATTTCATGAGTGATGACCTCGCCTTGCAGTGGCCGTTAAGGGGGCACTGTGCAGGGCCTTCTCACTAAGTTAGAAACAGGGAGAAAGGCCTGCAGGGTGGAGAGGTCAGCCTCGCGTCCAACCCTTTAGATCTGCCTAGTGAACAAGGGATGGGAAAGGGACAGAGTGGGCATGGGACAGTGGCAGTGGGAGGATGGGCCGCCTGCCAGGTGACTGCAGGCACCAGGGCTGAGGCCGCTGGATGCCAAGAGTCACACCGCCAAGCCCCAGGCTTGAGATTCCAGCACCTTCCAGGATCACCTGGGCTCTGCTGGCAGGAGATGGGTTGGGGACGGGGAGAGTGTCTCCAAGAAGTAACCAGCCTGAGAGGGATGCCCAGGCAACGAGGTGTCCAGGCCCTGTGTGATGCCCAAAACCCACACAGGACGTGTCCTCTGTGCAGGTATAGCCAAATCCCCAACATTGCAGAACCATAGTTGGAAAGACAAAGACAGAGACCAGAACCTGGAAGGGACAAAGGTCATGCAAAAAGGAAACCCCAAAAAGCCCCACAGAACCACAGCAACCATCCTCAGACAAGAAGCCGCTGCACTAGAGAGGACAGGAGGTGACACAGAAGCAGTGGAGAGGATGGCAGGAGCTCTGGGATGAGTGTGGGGCTCGTCTCATGGCTGAGGACACTCCTAGAACACAGATGACACCGAGGTGGAGACAGGAAAGGAAGTGGCCAAAGAGACGGCCCACAAGCCAGCACAGCCCCACCAGGACCACAGGGAGGCATGGGGCGCTGTCCAAGTGCAACAGGACTTTTTCAGGGCATCAACATCTCCAGACGGGCCAGGCCAGCTTGCCAAAAAGGCTGGGGACAAAGAGCCCAAAAGTGACAGGAAGAAAATCAGGTTTCATATGAAGGACAGCGACAAGGGCATTGAGCTGCTGCTAGCTTTTTAAAAAGACAGGGTCTCACTCTGTTGCCCAGGTGGGGGTGCACTGGCACCATCATAGCTTACCGCAGCCATGACCTCCTGGGCTCATGAGAGTCTCCTGCCTCAGCGTCCCTAGTAGATGGGACTAGAGATGCACACTGTCACACCCAGCTGGCACTGAGCTGCTTTACACAGGATGGCAAGATGGAAGATGGTTGGGAAGCGACGGGCCCACTGAGGAGACTTCTGGAGCAGAGACGACCACATTGAGGAGACTTCTGTAGGAGATGACCCCACTGAGGAGACTTCTGGAAGGGAGATGATCTCACTGAGGAGGCTTCTGGAGGAGAGACGACCCCACTGAGAAGACTTCTGGAGGAGAGATGACCATACTGAGGAGAATTCTGGAAGGGAGATGACCTCACTGAGACTTATAGAGTAGAGATGATCTCACAGAGAAGACTTCTGGAGAAGAAACAATCGCACTGCAACTTCTGGAGGAGAGATGACCACAGAGGAGCCATCTGGAGTAGAGACGACCTCACAGAGAAGACATATGGAAGAGAAACGACCACACTGAGGAGACTTCTGGAGCAGAGATGACTTCACAGAGAAGACTTCTGGAGGAGAGACAATCTTCACAGAGAGACTTCCAGAGGAGAGACGACACCACTGAAGAGACTTCTGGAGAGACGACCCCACTAAGGAAACTTCAGGAAGAGATATGACCTCACTGAGGAGACATCTGGAGGACAGACAACCCTACTGTGGAGTCTTTGGAGGAGAGATGACCCCACTGAGGAGACATCTGGAGAGACAACCTCACTGAGACTTCTGGAGGAGAGAGGACAACACTGAAGAGACTTCTGGAGAAGAGACAACCCCACTGAGGAGACTTCTGGAGGAGGGACGATCTCACTGTGGAGACATCTGGAGGAGGGACAACCCCACTGAGACTTCTGGAGAAAGGACAACCCCACCGAGGAGACTTCTGGAGGAGAGATGACCCACTGAGGAGATATCTGGAGCGACAACCTCACACCTCACTGAGACTTTTGGAGGGGAGACGACCTCGCGAGGAGACTTGTGGAGGAGAGATGACCCCACCGAAGAGACTTTTGGAGGAGAGACGACCCCACTGAAGAAATTTCTAGAGGAAGGACGACCCCACTGTGGAGTCTTTGGAGGAGAGACAACCTCATTGAGACTTTTGGAGGAAAGACGACCTCAGTGAGGAGACTTCTGGAAGAGAGACGACCCCACTGAAGAGGCTTCTGGAGGAGAGACAACCACACTGAAGAGACTTCTGGAGAGACAACCTCACTGACACTTCTGAAGGGGAGACGACCTCACTGAGAAGACTTCTGGAGGAGAGACAATCCCACTGAAGAGACTTCTGGAAGAGAGACAACCCCAGTGAGGAGACCTCTAGAGGAGGGATGACCCCACTGAGGAGACTGCTGGAGGAGGGATGACACCACTGAGGAGACATCGAGAGCAGAGATGACCTCACTGAGACTTCTGGAAGAGACATGATGTGATCCTGAGGGAGACTTCTGGGGGAGCACCCAGGTCAACTAGAGCCAGTCGCAGTGGGATAACTGGGACCTCTATCTTGTCCTCCCAGTGGTCTTGAGCTCCAAAGGGTGGCCCCAACGTGCAAGTTCTTCTCAAATCCATGCTAGGTCATGCTTGCTGACTTCCCAGGGCCAAGCCCAGCACCCATGGGCCACGGGGCATGGAAGCCAGAGCATCCTCCTTGGCTGCTTTGACTATAGTGATCCATCAGCAGGTCATTCAAACAAGCTGGCCTTGGGCAGTCAGGGGACTGACAGGGACATGGGGGCTCAGCCCCGAGGGCCAGGGCACTGTTTGGCAATGAGGGCACCGGGAATGGGGGCTGAGGCTTTGAGGTCACATGCAGGGTCCTGAACGGATAGGTAAGGGACTAAAGATGACGGAAACGGGAAACAGAACGGGGAAGGGTTGGGGGTTCCAGAGCCCACAAAGAGCAGGGGTGGGGCTGAGCCACCAGGCAGAAGCCTGGGTGGGGATCTCGAGCCACCCCGCCCTAACAACCCATGTGGAGGCCTGGGTGTTCCCGAGGCCTACTGCTTAGGGGTCAGGTCACCACCCAGCAGGAAGACCCTCTGTGACATCTGCAAGGTTGTCCTCTCCAATTAAAGAAGACTGGCGGTTTTTTTCTTTAAACAAAAGAAGAGGCTCTCGGGTGGGATAAGAAGCCTAGGTGGCTTGGGTTCAAGTGAAGAGTCACTGTACCCCTACCCTGTCCCTGCTCCCTGGTTCCTCCTGCCTG